CTGTCCAGGGCGCTTACGGACTCTGGGAGGCTCTTGTTGGCCTCTAAGGTGCCACTGGACTCGGGCCCAGCTCGAGACCTTGGGGGGGAGGGAGGAAAGCGATGCTGTGGTGCTGGGAGCGCCGGAGTCGGACCGGCGAGTCCCGTGTTCGAATCCCAGCTCTGCCGCGGAAAGCTGGCTGGGGGACCCTGCTGGGTCAGTCGTGCCCTCTCCGCCTCTCCTACCTCACAGGGTTGTTGCTGCGAAGATGGCATGGAGGAACGGAGAAAGAAAGACGCTTTACACCGCCTTGGTTTCCCGACAGGGAGAAAAGGGTGGTACACAGAGCTTAAGAGTTAAACAGTAAAAAAATGAGACACGGGGGGGGGGAGCCGGGGGCACCTGAGCCTGGACGGCGCATGGATGGCGTTTGAAAACCAGGCGCTGCTGGGGCGGATGGGGACTTTGCTGCAAGAGATCGGGCGGGTTTGTTGTTGTTGTTTTAACCTGCGCGGCTAACAGATGACTGTGTGTGGGGGTCAGGTGCCGTCAAGTCGCAGCCGATTTACGGCGACCCCAGCGAGGGGCTTCCGAGGTCTGTGAAGCAGCAGAGGTGGTTTGCCCTGGCCTGCCACTGTCTGCAGCGTCTTCCTCGGTGGTTTCCAAGTCTTCCAAGTACCGACCCTGCTCAGCTTCCCAGATCTGCCTCCCCTCCTCCCTTGCGGCCCCTCCCCACACACGGCGGAAGGGCAGATTAGCACAGAGCCCAAAGCCTGGCGACCTTTTGGAGAGCAATGACAGCTCGAGCATAGCTAAACTGATCTTGGCCACAAAGCCCCCACCGACTTCAATTCGGCTGACTTCCGGAGGAAGTTTGCGGATTGCAGCCGGATCGATCGGGACCTACATCTACAGCACGTGGGAATTTCATGAATCGGATTAAGTGAAACGATGCCGGGGAAACCGTGACAATGTGAGCCTAGGCTGGTTTGCTCAGAAGTAGCCCCACGGAAGTACGCGAAGGATTCACAATGCAAGCCTAAGCACGTATGCTCAGACGCGAACCCCACTGCGTTCCCTGTGCATAACAAGGTAGAGGCTCACTTCGGAGTCAATGTGCCCAGATTAGAGATGCGGGGTTCCAAAACCAGGCACCCCCTCCCATTGGACGCCGCTGTCCAGTGGAAACCTGTGGGGTGAATCCAAACAGGTCAGATGGGGGCAGCAGGAGGCGACCGCAGACCAGGGCCGACTGATCCATTAGGCACTGTAGGCAGGGTGCCCAGGCCCCCCCCCACTTTTAGGGTCCATGAAAATGTTTTATTCCCCCCCCCACATCAGAAAAAAAGAAAGAAAATTTAGGCCCCACGAAAATCTATTACATTTTGCCTAAAACAGAAAAACATTGAAGAATTTAAAAATATCAAAAATAATGTTGATATTGATATTATTATGGTGGGAGGGGCCCAGGAAGGCAAAAGTCCTAGGGCCCACGAGGGTCATCGTGCGGCCTAGCGGCAGACCACTTTGGGGAAAGGGAGTGGAGCTAGTGGACCAGAACCGAGGGGGCGGGCGGGGCAGACGGGAGGTGGGGTTTGGGAGTGGCGTGCAGGCGAGCCTGAACCTATTTTCTAGAAAGGAATCCACACTTATCCTGCAGTAACTTATCCTGCCAGTAAGCCCGATTTAATTCCCTGTGGTACCTAATTAATGTTGAGTAAAGGCTGCACTGCAATCCGACCTGTTAAATAGTGGGTTCCATGAATAAGCAGGCTCGAGTCTCGTGATCAGCTTAACTTTATTTGTGATTTCAACAAGAGCAAGACTAAACTCCAGGGCCACTGCCCTGTTTAAATAGCATGCAATTCCCACACCCAAGCACACCCCACTCCCAAGGATAGGCTATTTACATAACATTACTACTTGACTTCCAGAGTCCTGGTAGCTACTGTTCTTGTGCTCCAAGCTCAGACAGTCTCTGGTGTAACATACCTGGAATGGTTCAGTCCCAATACATAACACCACCGGTGCACAGTTATTATCAGTAGTGGGATTTACTTCCGAGTAAAACATGCCAAATCTGCAATCCGCTACATAATCCTCACCAACAAGACTGCGATCCTATGCACTTAAGAGTAAAGCCCCTTTTAAACTTCAGAATTAGCCTGGGCAGGATCAACTTTGAATGGAAAGGGGGCGGCACGATGGGGAAGGGGGTTGACCCAGCACCCCCCCTCCCCATGCTGGGAAAGGAGCACCTTTGGCTGCAATTTCGGCAGCCTAGAGAGGGGGAGGGGAGGGACCAGAGTGCTTCATCTTTGCTTGGCCATGAGCTGCCCGCCCAAAGGCAGAGGAGGAGGAGGGGGCCTTCCCCGCTCCGCCCTGGCCCGTCCATTCATCCATTTCACCCAGGGATATTTCCAGCTCCTCCAGCTCTCCGCCGGCAGAAGCGGGCAGCAACAGCAGCACCCTCCGGGGCGAGAAAGAAGCGCGCGGAGCCCGGCTGAAGTTCGCAGCCCCCGCCCCCAGTAGGGCGCTCCGCAGCTCGTCGAACTGGACGGTCAGGTTGGGAGGGGCGGAGCTGAGTCGACTCCGCCGCCCGCCCCCTTGCCCAGCCCGCAAACGACAGTCCGGAGGGAGGAGCGAAGGAAGAGATTGCAGGGGGCGGGGCTGATACCGAGGCGGGGCGCCCGGGGGAGGCTTGGCCGCTGAGGACGCCCGGGAAGCTGTCCGCTGTGACGGCTGCCATTCACAAAGGCAAACCGAGTCTTCTTTGGCTTCTGCGCACTGCCCCCCCCTCCCCCAAATTACGTATGGGAGCGGCGAGCGGGGCTCCTTTTTGCAGGCGCCCAGAGAACTGCAGTGAGGGCAAGCGAGAGACTGCGTGATGCTTCTGAAAGAGTCACACCTCCAGTTGCGATCCCAAGCAGAGGGGGACTCGATTCCAAGCAAATCGTCCCAGGCGGGGCTCAGTCTCAGTGGCTGGGGTGGTCCCGTCTCCATTGGCTCGGGGAGCTAGCCTCGTTGGTCACAGTGATCTGTACGTTTTAGGGAAGAGCAATGTAAGCAGCCTGCACTGTAAAGGTTCGCGGATTAGACCCCAATCCATGCATTTGATAAACGGGAGCTGCTGTAGCCCTCGAAAGATTATGCTGCAAGAATTACTGGGATCTTTAGATGTCACCAGACTGCACCTGTTTCTGAAGAAGTGTGCGTGCACATGAAAGGTGATACCCTGAACAAAACTTTGCTGGTCTTAAAGGTGCCACTGAACTCAAACTTTGTTCTACCCTGTGTAAAGTTGTTACGGTCATGCCTCGATCCTAAGTATCCTCACAAGTATAAGACAGTGGACCGCTGATCAGGGGGTGAGCTAGTGTAGCCCTGGAACGATTTCACCTGAAATTCACCCTCCCCTTCTGTGAACCTTGCATTTTTTCCCTTTTACAGTGCCAAAAATAATATCGTGCGAACTGGAAGAACAGCCTGACCATGTGCAGAATTAGGTGCGGCGAAACCAATGAGTTGAGACATGCCTGACTGTGCATAGGATGAGGTTGCAGCTTTCTGTGGGAGGAGACATCAAGCATCTGGCTAGAAATCCGGTCTGCTAGGCAGGGAACTGCAGCTAATTCCGGCTTCCTGAGAAGGTCGGCCTTACCGCTCAGAGAGGAAGCCGTGTCAGGCAGTTGCAGCCAAAACAACAAAGGAGTGTTGTGGCACTTTAAGGACTAACAAAGCTATTGTGGCATAAACTTTCACCAGTCAGGAAAGCCCACACTTTGTCTGACACATGAGACAGACTTCGGCTCACCAAACTTCATATGCCAGGATAAGGTGTCACCAGACTCTTTTATGACAAGTCCAGAGGAATAGCTGTGGTAGTCTGCTGTAGCAAAAATAAGGTGGAGTTAACATGTTTTTATGCTAGGCTAAGTACAAAACGTGTTAGTCTCAGGGTTTGTCTTTAAACAAAAAGCCCTGTTCCTTTAATAGAGGCTTAATAGGATGCTGTTTTCCAGGTGATATTTACCTCAGTCATCAAAAGCTTCACCTGGCTGTTTCCACGTATTAACTCTGTATTAAAAGGGACAGGGCCTTTTCTCCAGGTGCTGGCACCCTTACTAGTCTTTCAGGCGCCACAAGAAGACTGTTTCATCCCTAAGCACAGGGCTGTAAAGAAGCACAGTGGTCACATTCACTTACAAACCAAACCAGTGAACACAGTGAGCGAAGTGATCCTCTCATTGCGGTGAACC